GAGACTTTAGATAATCAGGGCGGATCTCATCCACACCCGGAGCCTTGCCACCATGGAGGCTACCAACCACCTTGGTGACCTCAGCCAGGGAGATGGATGTACCCGCCCCAACGTCCTCAGCCTCTGCCTCTGTAACAGAGGACGTGACGGGGGGATTGAGGAGAACCTCAAAGTATTCCTTCCACCGCCCGACAATATCCCCAGTCGAGGTCAGCAGCTCTCCACCCGCACCGTACATGGTGTTGGCAAAGAACTGCTTCCCCCTCCTGAGGCGCCGGATGGTTTGCCAGAATCTCTTCGAGGCCGACCGATAGTCATGCTCCATGGACTCTCCGAACTCCTCCCAGTCCCGGGTTTTTGCCTCTGCAACAGCCCGGGCCGCGGCACGCTTGGCCTGCCGGTACTGGACAGCTGCCTCAGGAGTCCCCCGAACCATCATGGCTCGATAGGACTCCTTCTTCAGCCTGACAGCATCCCTTACTGCCGGTGTCCACCACCGGGTTCGGGGGTTGCCGCCGGGACCAGCACCAGAGACCTTGCGACCACAGCTACGAGCCGCCGCATCGGCGATTGAGGCAGAGAACATGGTCCACTCGGACTCCATGTCCCCCTCCTCCGCCGGGACCTGGGAGAAACTCTCCCGGAGGTGTGAGTTGAAAGTCCGTCTGACAGGGGGCTCAGCGAGACGTTCCCAGCAGACCCTCACTATACGCTTGGGTCTGCCAGGTCTGACCGGCTTCTTCCCCTGCCAGCGGATCCAACTCACGACCAGGTGATGATCGGTTGACAGCTCCGCCCCTCTCTTTACCCGAGTGTCCGAGACACGCGGTCGAAGGTCAGATGATACGACAACAAAGTCGATCATCGACCTCCGGCCTAGGGTGTCCTGGTGCCACGTGCACTGGTGGACACCCTTGTGCTCGAACATGGTGTTCGTGATGGACAAACCGTGACTGGCACAGAAGTCCAACAACTGAGCACCGCTCGGGTTCAGATCAGGGGGGCCGTTCTTCCCGATCACCCCTCTCCAAGTGTCACTGGCGTTTCCCACATGGGCGTTGAAGTCCCCCAGGAGAATAACGGAGTCCCCGGGCGGTGCACCGTCCAGTACCCCTCCCAAGGACTCCAAGAAGGCCGGGTACTCTACACTGCTGTTAGGCCCGTAGGCCGTCACAACAATGAGAGACTTGTCCCCCACCCGGAGGCGGAGGGACGCGACCCTCTCATTCACCGGGGAGAACTCCAACACGTGGCGGCTGAGATGGGGGGCAATGAGAATGGCCACCCCAGCTCGCCGCCTCTCCCCGCGGGAAACTCCAGAAAAGTGGAGCGTCCAACCCCTCTCAAGGAGTTGGGTTCCAGAGCCCAAGCTGTGTGTGGAGGTGAGGCCGACTATCTCTAGTCGGTATCGCTCAACCTCCCCCACGAGCTCGGGCTCCTTCCCCCCCAGTGAGGTGACGTTCCACGTCCCAAGAGCCAGCTGTTGTGTGTGCGGACTGGGTCGCCGAGGTCTCCGCCTTCGACTGCCGCCCAGTCCTCTCTGCATCATAATGTGGATTTCCAAAAAGATTTCTTCTTTTCTGTGTGTGCGTGTTATGTGTGTGTGTGTGTGTGTGTGTTTGCGTATGCATTGTGGTATAATTTAATCTATGTTCTCAATAGTGTGTGTATTCTAAAATAGTACGTGTCATTTCAGTTAGGTTTTCTGTGTAATGTGCATGTATTATAAATGACATTCAAAGGTTTTTTCATATTTGTTCCTTGGGATTTTAAGCTTTATGTTTTAGCTCTTTCAGCACATGATCAGATAGTGCTCCTTTAGAAACCAGCATCATCCGTCTTTTCACCAGATGAATCCTCTTGACCTTAAAAATGCATACGCAGAATGGGGGAGAACCATGTGGCAGTTACGTATGTCCTAAGTCTGAAAAGGAAAAACAGTATCTGAGAACAAACAAAGATGTCATGTTTTCTCGTGGGACAGTCTGAGCAACAGCCTTTCCTCTGGGCACCTCTAATGTAGATGTGTGTTCACTTATCAAAGACGCTGCTGTTGGAGCACGTGCAGGTAGCGGACGTGCCGTGTGCTTTTTGCATGAAGCTAAACCAGGCTGGGTTGCGCCGCGGCCCTGATGGATCACGGTGCAATGACGTACATTGACGTCACGTTTTCACTTGAGCCGCATTGCAGTCGCATGCAAATTTGTGCATGTCAGGCTTTGTGCAAATTTAGCCCTGCTTTTTTTTATTTATTTTTATTTTTTATGATTGCATATTTCAACAAATGGGAGCGAACAGGAACATGCTCATTGGTGGTTGGACTAGTTATGAGCCAGGCTGTGAAGATGTGCATAACTCCTCCAACCCCCCAGGGACCCTGTATTTTCATGGGCCTGCCTCTGACGTCAATGCTCCTGGCTGTCCTGTGGATTGTCAGAACAGTGGATCCAGTGGGGGAGGGGACCTGGGTGTGTGTGTGTGTGTGTGTGTGTGTCTGCCTCTGAATATACCGTTGCCTGCGAGCGTGTGTGCTCTCCCATGTGATGAGTAAATGTTTCGCTTACATCTCGCAAGTCCGTAACGTACAGAGCCCGGATCAAAAATGTCTTGAAGTGGTGGAGAAGGTGGGCTGCAGACGCATGTGCGCGCAGACAAAAGAGGGCTGTATTAAAGCAGACGTCAGGATGTTTGGCTCAAAGCAAAACCAGTGCCAATAGTTAAGCATGGTGTTTCTCCACAGTGTGTAACGCTTTACAAAGCTGCTACATACATTAAAACACAAGGACCTAATAAGAGGGATGAGGTTTCAGCCTCTTTCATCATCACATTTTCTCATTTCCATAAATTTCTCAGAGAACATATGGTATCTATTGGAAGATGGATATTGGGTTTGACGGAAGGATAATGTTAACGCAAAAATGCCTGTGTGAAGTGATGCTAATCAAGATCGACCGACTGTGGTTCAGAGAAAAGAACACAGATATTCACAGAAAAATTGTATCTGAATGTACAAGGTGAATGAATATATATCATACATAATGTATATGCATTTAGAATTTGGTTGCTGTGGAGAAGGTGTGCTTACAAAAATATACCATTATTGTCACAGAATAAAAAATCATGTTCTGTGGAGAAATTTTAATGTCATAGTAGTAGTGTGCAACATTACAGCAAAATAGAAGGATAAATAAGAACGCTCACATGCACACATCAAACAGGATCAGGAAGATTATTTAGTATAATAGATAATAAAATAATAAGAGAATAAACTCTGGAGGTATAATTGCACTTGCGGCAAGGACAAGTCACTTGTGGAGCACACAGTGTAGTCAGCAGCAGTCATGAGGTTTCACATTTACAGATGGTCGGTTATTGTACTTTAGCAGCAGAGAATATAAACAATAGTATTAATAACAGCAGGTACGATGGATGGTGAAATATCATGATGCTATTAGTTGAAGCATTCTCATTGTAGTGAAGTTGTAGAAATGTAGCATTGTTATATATTTACACATCAGTAGTTTTAGACTCTTTTTACTTGTTTTGGTTCCCCATTTTTCTCATGTAATGTCAACCTTCTCAGCTTCTCAGTATTCCAAGGTGTACACATGATGCATGTTCTTTAGCGCTCTCAAAATAGCACTGGAAACATCTAACAATTTGCACGGATTATCTTATTGCTTTGTAGACTTTTCCAGATACTTCAACTCACTATTGGAAAAATAATATAATTTGCATTACAAGAAGAAAGTGGAAAATCTAATTCAGTTCACTTTTGGAGAGAAGAAGTTCACCTAAGGTTCAATTGGAGCTGTCATCTTCTGTCGCACGCCCTGATTCACTCTGCGTGACAAAAGCATGGAAACTTATGCAATATGTCTCATTCTTTCTTCTGCATTATTTCCAAAAAAAGTGTAATAGATGTACACCTAGGAGGATATGATATCTAGTCCTAAACAAAAGACTACAAACATTATAAATAGCACAGTTTAGGTACTGTGCTACTGTGTTATCTCACCTTTTTACTACATTGATCTGTAATTCCAATAATTGACATTTTTCCATCTCACTTCCTAAAACTTCTGGTGCACATTGTTATAAGTGACCTCTGCGTGGACCAGCTGCCCGTGTGCAGGAATGTTGGTGATTGATAGTGCACTTGCTGACATAGCTCACGCCTCAAGTGCTTTTGTGCTGCAGCCGGGAGAGAGTGCCACACGCTTCTCTCCGGATCAGGTTGCAAAATGAGCCGAACCTGGCGTTGATAAGGGTCTCATATCTGCACGGGCAGGGATAGTGGAACTATTCATTTAGGGCACAAATTGAGCAATCCGATCCTGTATGCATCAGGGTTTTGCTTGTAAGTCTAACTTGTGATAACTTGTGATTTGTGTCATGCAGAAAACATGTTGTTGAGTTTAGTGAAGGTTCAACAAACTACAAGAAAGGAAATACTATTTGAATAAGCTATACACTATTTCGAGGAAGTACATTTTTTACAAAAAATATAACAACATCCCAAAATAGTATGTACATTTTACTATTAAGGATGTGACTAAATTTATCGTGTTATTATGTGGTGTTAGCACTTCAATGCCTGCAGCTTCTTAGAAATGTAATGGTCAGCTGGAACGAATGCCACTTTGTCAGATTGGACAGATCAGACTTATTATCGGACAGGTTTGGGTACTGTGCCCTTCTTTCTGAATGGATATCTATTGGTGAATGAGCCTTCACAAAATGGGACTGAAAGAATGCCAGGCATTCACTCAGCTTATTTAAAAATGAAACATATGCACTCTACTTGTCTGTGTGCCATGCACATAGAACACAGATGGTGAAAGTGAGCAGTACATATGTGCAGTGTGATGCCCTGTGCTGTCTCCCTGAAGCTGTCGCCTGTTTGAGCAAAGCCTCAGAAACAGCAGTGACCACGCCCCTTTTACGCAGCTAAACTGGAGCGCGTCTGTCATGCGTCAAGTTTCACGACATCCCCGGAAATGTTGCGTCTGAGCACGTGAGTCTGTGGATCTGACACGTGTGTCCTCTAAACCATGTTCACACACACGTGCTGCCTTTTGTCTCTGAAAATACTTTTCTGAAGAAAGACTTCAGAACGCGCTCTTGATCTCGCAGCGATTTGAACCAAACCTCTTTTACTTTGAAAGTACGTGGGCTGTGAGCTCGTATTCTCGTGCACTTGACTGTGGCCCGCTCCTGTCCCGCCCTCCGCTCCACGGCAAAATGTGCGCGTTTACCCCCCTCTCTCACTGCCAGTGCCGTGTGCCTGTGCGTGTGCGTGCGCCTGGCCCAGTCTGCTGCTGCTGCTCGACCACAGCGGACTCACTGCAGCCTCAGACGGCCCGCGGTGCTGCCTATAGCGCTGGCGCAGCAGGAGGAGGTGGGCTGCTGGACTCGGCTGTCATCACACTTTGGGACGCGCTGGAGTTGTTTCACACGCACCAAGTTGCAGCTGCAGAGGCGCACTTTTCTCCGGGGCTCTTCTCTCCTTGAGCGCTCACAATCCGACATGGAAGATGGTCCGTCTTCAACAAGCTGTTTCAGAAGGTTAACGGACTGTTTCCTTGGTGCAAGTAAGTCCTTTAACACAGCACAAGTTTGTGCCGCATTCACTGTGGTGTGAACGCTTTGAGGTGTTGTGCACTGATTTGGGACGGTCCCAAGCCCGCAGAGTCCCGCGCGTTCTTCTCGCCAACTTTATGAATGACACAGTGTCGCTGGACGGAACGGGTGGGGACTTCATTAAACAGGGATCAGACGAGGAAGTGAATTAGGAAATGTCTGCGTCTGCACCATGGTCTGCACGCAGCTGAGCTGAAATCCATGATGTGTCTGGGATGGGACGAGCCGGTGCTCCGCAGTGCGAGTGTGTGATGAGATAAAAGGGGGTCAATTGGATGTTTCTGAATATGTTTATAATGTTGTCATTCACCATTTATTGAAATCCATCTTTCATGTTGTATTGCTTCCTCCTCCTTCAACAATTTCTGGGGCATTGACTATATACAATTAATTGACTTTAGCATTAGACTATAATATAGTCTTCTAAATCGGCTATAAAACACAACATTTACATAGTTGGTCTAAATTTCAGTATGTTTTAAGGAACAAGTGGTTCTGTGTAGGCCTAATCATTTTCATGGAGACCTACTTTATTTTCAGATCTTGTTCCCACTATCTAGTGTTTGGTTTATAGCTGCATCACTCCACTGCTCGGGTTTTACTTTTATAATTGTGTACTTCCACACAGAACTCTGCATGTGCGGCACTAATGTTGTGGATTGTCAAACTTTTTCTCCTGGCGGATCAATCCGTCAGCATTTCCAGTTGTTAGTGGCACCTTGTTTGACCCATGTGGCACGCTGTAATAACACAGGGCCCAGGTCGCTGACTGATGCCAAAGTACACGCATAGCAGTAAACTGTAGTAATGGAATGTATTATTGAGGTACAGTACAGGAGTATCACCAAAAAAGGGCAAGAATGTCAGATATCAGGGCTCATTCACTCTTAATGTTATAATAATATGTAACATTACACATTATACTTGCTCACTATTGTTGTTTTCCTACTTACTTTTCGGTTTGCAATGTGATCAAAATAAAGGAAGGAAGAAGTGAGAATACCTAGAAAACAAAAGAGTACTACAAAAATCATATTGTGATTTACTGCTACATTTTTGGCTGGTTGAATTATTTTGCACTAAACACAAATTTGAACTTTAAACAAACAACTCAGCACTGAAAAACAAAGATAATTTTTTGTATAATTATTTTGCTACTACTGAATCCCAGGGCCGTATTTGTAAGTGCCACGCTCTGAATGTGTCGGCTCGAGGAGCATCACAAGCTTCATAAAGACGACTGCGTGTTTTTCATGTATGTCTGCCGTGACATCCCTTCTTACGTTTGTCATCGTTTGTGGATAGGTCTCCATGAGCTGGGTCAGTCTGGGTCATCTCTAATGTGATCTCCCTGGCATTTTCAAACTCAATTGGTTGTTGACAAATTGCTAAACTTTATGAAGAAGGGTGCATTGTTAGACAGGAAGTCCTCGGATTGGGGCATGGGATTCAAGCAACATTTTAAAGATTACTTTCTTCATCAGCTGTAACTGTATCTTATATATTATTATACTTATTTGATTCATTTTTTTTTTTAAATACAAGGTTTTCCTCAAATGAAATCATGCCCGTGTGAAACTATTACATTTGGTGTGTAAAAGGATTGTGATGTTAAAAATGTCTAAACTAAAGTGGTGTTGGTGGGGTATGCGCCCTCCAAGTGCACCTTCTAGTTACTAAATATAACTAATATTAGAAAACTATTCTTGCACTCATGTTCTAGTCTGTGATAACACATTTTTAGTTTGCTGTTGTTGACTGTACTCCTCGAAACTTAATCTCAATCAAATGCTTACATAGAAAATGCTTAAAAAATTAATATTCACTACAAAAAGTAATTCCTAACTACACTACACTGCATGACAAATACAGAAAGGGAAATGGAATAAGAAATGTTGGGATTTCATCTCAACACCAAGATGCCTAGACCCTGGTGGTGTCAGCTGAAGCAAAGTGTTGTAGAGCTGGTCTGGCTGATGAGGTGGTGATGGGGAAGAAGAGGGTTGCTGCACGAATGAAAGTTTTCTCCATGAAAGCTCAAGGCAGGGCAGTGTTTACATGCTCCCAGGTGAGAACGGCAGCATGGAGCGACCTGAGTGTGATTGACTGATTTCTGTTGCGGCGCAGCCACATGGGGAGGACTGAGAGCAGTGAGTTTGTGCACACATGAAGTCCCAGTCTTCCGTCTGAACCATCGCTTTAGCTTCATTTGAATGAAGCTGCATGTGTTTATGTCGTTTCCTCTCACCGCTCACTTTATACACTTTTCTAACCACCTGAACTCACGACTGCTGAAGTGAGATAGCGGAGATCTCAAACCTGTTTGTTGTTGGTCTGAGTGCTGCTGCAGCTGTCAAAAGCCGTGCATACACGGTAAAATACACCTGCAGAGGACACCGTGCTGAAGGGCATGTGCAGGACGAGGGCGTTGTAACGGTAATATGTTAGAGTTGGGTATCGGATTGGCCTTTTGTTTACATGAAGACGGTGTTTCAGGTGGATGAAAAAGAAAGCGTTGAGAAACAGCCTCCAGAGTGGAACAGAACAGATACGCTGCTCAGCGGGGAGCTGTTGTACAGCTGTTTGAAGAAAAAGTGTGAATTCTCTGGCTAAAATGACATCTCCACTTCCCCGCACAAACATTTAGAGACTAAGACAAACAAAACTTTTTTTTTGTTTCTTATTTTCATCAAATAAGGACTTAAAAAAAAAGAATCAAAACAGGACTTTCTTTTTTAATTAACTAAATAAAAAAATCAACAATTGGTTGGTTAATTCAACAATGAATACAGATTTCAAACTTCTCTTACGGTGAACTCTGTAATGAAGCATCAATGTCTGTCCCAGGGCACTGCGCTGTAGCAACCACTGCTCCTGACTTGTTGCTTTAGTGGCATCGCAGCATGGGTCGAATGCAGTGGACGAGTTTCCCTAAAGTTTACTTAAAGCTGGGCATCCTCGGCCAAAAGTGAAAAAGAGAGGCCCACCTTAACACTGGCTCTCAGCCCAAAGAGTCATGTAGTGACTCACAGAACTCTTTCTTTGTAGCTTTGTATGCAAAAGACATGTTTTCTATTAGGATGACCACAGCATGCTTCGGTCGGATTTTACTTTCTGTTGCAACAAACAAAAGGCAGTATTTATAAAACAAAAAGACTTTATTATACTAATTAGACATTTGTTCTAAAATTGTACATTCCTAGTTCACTGACAATGACAAAAAAGGCTCACACTGATATTGACATAATATTATTTTATCAAAACTGTTTAGCGTTTTGTCATGCTGCTGTCGAAGGAAACATTCACATGATTTAGTGGCCTTTCTCCTTTTCAAGTTTTTGTTCAAATGTCTCTTCAGGACACCATGCTGACGCAAAATAAGTTGTCCTCAACTTATCAGATGTTTGATGAATTTATTTACACCAGTGTTGTTTGTGCTTGTTGTCGTTGTGTATTTGAGTGTGAATGCTGACCTGCGTTTCCCACAGTCATGAGAGGAGCTGCTAGTGCAATGTTAAATCGCAATTTTGAATGGTAGCAAGTAACACATCACAAAGACTGCAGTTATTTCTTCTGAAAACCAAGACAAGTTTGCTCTCTATTATGGCTCTATAAGTTATTTTTCATCCATTACTTGACAGGAACCATGTGCAAGTTCATTTATCTTAAAAGAAAAGATGTTTTGTACCAGATTTAGCTCCTGCTTCTTTCTATCTGGTGTCCCCAGGCATGTGCACATGCACTAGAATTATGCTGTACATTCACTTACATCTCCATATTACTAAATATCTCAGTAAATAAATCACCCTTTTCTGTCTTTATGAGTAATATATGGACTTATGATTAGAAAAATATATGTCGTTAACAAATGTTTTATAACTCTTATACAACTAAAATTTTTCAAGAATAGGCTGTAATACTAGTTACAGTACACACACACAGACACACAGACATACGTGTGAAACACAAGAAAATAAACATAATGGATCAACAAAAATAAAAACTCAAAGAAACATTGACTTCAGTTTTTTGACAGCCGTGTTCCATATTGATGGTACTTTCCTGGTCTTTTTTGTTAGTGTGGATGGAGCAAACATGGGGTCTGTTTTTGATGATGTTGTAACATGGCTAAAAAGAAGATTTAGCATTAATATGTTTCTTTTTAAGGTTGTAATGTTGTGTAAAATGAATAAAAACAAAAGAAAATAAAAAGCTATTAGTTATTCCCCAAAATTGTTGTTCAGATCCAATACACAATAAGTCTTATCTCCACCTCCGCCTGTGGTTTACAGCCCTCGCCTCTCACTTGTAATGACCAGGAGCATGTAGGTGGAAGTAATGCAAATGACATTTCCATGGAAATCTGTGTCTCTGAGTGAGAGGTGTGATTGTGCATCATTGTGCAATAGTGTTTGTGGAGGGAGCACTGACTTAAGAGCAATGAGCATCATGAAATAGACACAAGTTGAAAAATGAATAGTTTTGATTCATTGTTCCAAATGGTAGATTTGTTAGTTTGAAACCAAAATGTGTATGATTAATGTTTATACCTTTCATACTTTAGTTGAGTGAGAAACAAATGCCCACAAAATAACTTGCGTGAAAGGCAGTATATAAATAAAGATTACTTACTTACTTTCATACTTTAGTGTTACCACGCACATAGATCAGATTTTCTCACTAAATGACATGATATTGAGGCAATAAATCATCATAAGAGAAACAGGTAGATTAATTCTAGTTCAAATCTATGAGTCAGGACTCCTCATATTTGGATTAGACAGTAAAGGATTTTCATGCATGTGATGTAGCATGTTGTATGTTTGAATGGGAGTAAAAATGGTATAATAACAAGGACAGTGAAGTGGAAGGGCAAACAGATCAGCTTCGACCATATATGACAATACAGAATTATCAGAGCACACAACAGTAATGACAAGCTTAAAAGTTC